CACTTTGGGACGCCATTCCATATGAATACCAAAAGGGAGGTCGGTGATGGAGAAATTCATCTCAAGCGGGTCAAGGACAAGCATATGGTTTAACACACAATGATGCACCCAGCAGAAGCAGCTGCCAACGTAGTGGCGGTGGCACACCAAAATCTTAGGATCATGAATCAGTCTGCTAGGTAAGAAGCTGAAAGAAAATAGCCATGCAGTGACTCAAATGAAACACGCTCTAAACCCTGCCCAGTTCGTTTCAAAAAAATATATGTGATAGCTTAGGGTAAACACATTTCCAATAAGGAATTCAATGGTTATTCTTCTGTGATTGGGTGCTTCGTACTCCATAACCTGAAACAAATAAAATTACATAATACAAGTTTGAGGTTAGCCTAGTGTTGCCGACACAATAGAATGTTAAGGAGTTGAAATCTGACAGAAGGAACCTTTTGGATCATATAGTTTCTGAGCATCAGTCACCAGCTCACACAACTAGTATGCGTGTGCGTGTGCACGTGCACCAAAATTTTGTATTTTTTGTTCGTGTACATGTGTGTATATCACACAACATGCCTGCCTATGTGTGTGCGTGTGCTCGTGTGAGCGACACACACAACATGTGTGCGTAAGCGGTATTTTATTTGTGCATGCGTGTGTTACAATAGACAAGGAAAACCTTGAAGAAGGTAAACTAGTGTGCAGCTTACCTGCACAATATAATCTCTGTAGCTTACCGACACATCCGGATGTTAAGGAGTTGAAATTTGACAAAGGGAACCTTTTGGATTACATAGTTTCCCAAGGCGTCAGTCTCCAGCTCAGCAACATAAGGTATGATTTCTGTTAAGACCGTTGCTTTCTCTTTGGGCCTTGTTGTTGCAATATTCTACTGTATATAGTGGCTCCCAAACTGATCGAAGTTGCAAAATACATCCAAACGGAGGAGCAACTTAGGAGGTGTTTTGTTCCGTCCTAGGCAAGGTTGCCTAGCATTAGCAGCGATCTCAGGCGTTCAATTTCGGTCACCTGGGAAGGCACTGTCCAAACAACCCCTTAGTGATCACTGCAGGACAGAAATACAATTCCTTGGCATGCGAATATTTATGTTAGCACATGAAAACTAAATTAAAATTCATGTAACAAAAATGTACAACATGAACTTTGATAAGAAAAATGGGAGAAGTCCCTTTGCTCAGACTACTGGCCACTCCAGTAGATGTTGCCAAACTGGACACATCTTGAAGCAATGCCATATGCAGATTGCTATTCCTGCTAAAGTCCGTTTTCTGAACATTAAGATGATCTACAGAACTAACCTTTTCATGAGGTGTCCTAAATGTGCTATCGACTCTATTGGTGTCAGTGATGTAGGATGTGTGTGATACACACATTCAAAATGCTCTCGAAATGCTAATATCCAATTGACAACATTAGAGTGCTGGGAAGACAATTTGGAGATATCCCATGTAATCTGCCCAACGAGCCTCCTGTTGTTGCTGGATATCCAAATTCACTTATCTTATTATCACTATTTTTCCTAGCATCTCGTATTATCTTGTAGTTCTCTTTCAACTCCTTTTCCTTTGATTGTATTTGTTGTTTTGTAAAATGAGCTAAAGAAAACTTTTCATTGAACTGTTTGGTGATCTTTCTCCAACTTGTTGTCCAACCATTTTGTGTCTTGTACATAGGGATATTGACATGATATTTGATTACGTCCACAAGCCCTTTCTCATATGTATAGCTCCATACAGCCCTTGTACTCTGGCATGTTGACATGGCTGAAAATAATGAGACATTAATGTAATAAGTTAAAATGCTGATAGAGATGAACAACGCTTTAAATTACCATCTCATTATTATAGGCAGCCCACATCGCTTGCACTATTTGATCTCGTAGTGTGTTGCTATCATTCGATTCCATCTCATTTGGATAATCGCTACCGCCTCTGGCAAATCAACAAAAGTGGTTGGGTCGATTTGTTTGTGGTTGGTGATCTAGCCAACTATCTTGCATATTGTGCCCTCTAGTTATATTATGAAACACACCTCCTGCTGCTGCTAGAATCTTGATCTGAATCTCAATTGCCATAATCTCCCACAACACGCTCTATGACCCTTTACTCGCACTGGTCTCTTCAACGTATGAATCAACAAATCTTAGAGAGGAACTTGGACTAGATCTTAGAGCTAACCTAGAGTGGATCTGGATCTTGAAGCTGATGCAGAGGTGGCGGCAACGGTGGCGATCACGTGTCGACGCGGTGAGCGGACCTGAAAGTCCGGTTGTCGAGGGAGAGGCCGACAATGGAGAAGAGCTATTGACGTGAGGAAGAAGAGGCGGCGGCGGCGAGGCGAGGAGCCGAGGACGACGATGGATGCACAACGCTTCCGTCTCGCGCGTCACTCGCTTGGGAAAAGCCGTCTGGACCCGAGCGTGAGAGAGCAGCCTCCCCCGGGGAAAAGGTAGGGTTTAGTTTGACCTCCCCCTTCCCGTGGGCTTCCAAATGCAGAGGAAGCCTGGGCCATGGCTGAGTTTTGCGTGGGCTTATTGCCAGGGGGAAAGACTAGGACATCCACATGGGTTTGGGTTTCCAAAGAGGCCTAATGTTTTGACTCACTCTAGAGTGTGTTTTTGTTATTGTTGCTCGTATATAAATATTAGTAACATATTCATTTTTTATCTCTGGTGAAATAGGCCCGATACTCACTCGCTTAGTCATTTCTTAAGTGTTGTTCTAGGCCTTAGCCCTCGAACACCAAGCCGCTGCGCGAGCAGATCAAGCAAACCAAACACCGAAGCGAACACACGGTGGAGAAAACACGGTAGATGTATTCAAAGTGAAATGGTTCTACCTATTTACAATTTCTGCCTCAGGGGCTATTTATACATGCCCGTAGGCTTTTCATGGACAAAAATGCCCCTGCAACCACTACATATCCCAGGTATATTCCTGCTCGCCTAGGACTTGCTCGCCATTTCGGAGATACCGCCCGCCCCGGGTGGCGCCGACCCTCTGGTCCTCGTCTGGTCCCGCACTTTGCCGCCTTTTTGCCGACCGAAGCGGGCCGCGATGGACCGGAGTTATTAGTACCTTGTCGCGTGGCGGGCTCCTCTCCGGGCAAAACCTGTGAAGTCAGCTACACAGACAAAGGTTAACTATTCGCTCGGTCGAATGGTCCGGACAACCATACCATTCCCGCCGGCGCCCGGTTGCCCAACCACGGGGGAGCCGAGCCCACTGTTCGTCGGGCCAAAAACCCAATTGCATAGGTGCCCTAAGGGCACTATTCGCGGGCGTGAAATGGCGCGGCGACTTGCTCGCGCCTCTCGGCTAGGCAGATGAGGTCTGCACTTCGCCTTGGCGAAGGGCAATGCTCCTTATGCTTGAGTTGTCCTCGGATCTGAAATGCGGGGCGTACATTTCGCCTTGGCAAAATTGCAACACTTTCCGCAAAGCGCAAAGCCGTGGCCTCTAGCCCTTTCGCCGTGGCGAAATGTTGACCACACCGGGTGATGGCGCATGAGACCTGCGGGGTGCCCACAGGTGGTGGGGCACCCCCAACATTAAGTTACAAGATTCATCAAACTATACCATTTTAAGTATGTTCGTTTCTTAAGTTACAAGATTCATCAAACTTTACCATTTTAAGAATCAGCACTACACTGGTGTCTACTACTCCTAGCATCCTATCCTATCGATCTAGCCTGCACATCGTTCTCTCATTTAATCAGTGCCCTATCTAGTAGTTGAAATCTCAATCACCACATGTTAATCCCCACATGTATTCCTGTCAATCCAAGCATCAAGGGCTAATCGAACTCCTCTCTCGATGAGGGTCACCAAGAACAGAACATCACAAGAACTTTGACAAAGAAATTGTGAGACGCTAGAAGCCTACCTCACCGTTCCACAGCGCACCAAGCCTCTCCGCCACCGATCCCTGCCTCAGCAAGACCGTCCTCGCTCGCACCGTCTTCACCTCTTGCCGGCGCGCCCTTGCCCCAGATCCGGTCGCAAATCAGGCAGCGTGCTCGCTCAAGGCCACCGTCGGCTCCGCGGCGAGGCGAGCGGTCGTCGAGGTCTCAACGAGTTGTTGGGGTAGGGGGAGGGGGAGGGACCGTCGGGGTCGGGTGCGGAGGCGGCGGGGTACAGGGTGCGGAGGCGGCGCGGTACCAGGTGGGACGGCGCAAGAAACCCTCGCCCCTCGGCACCGAGCGGGCACTGAGCGAAGGACTGGAGGAGAGGCCGATAGTTCTCGTATTTTTTTCAGGCCTGTGAAGATGACTTTTTTTACACCAGTTTTGGGCCAAAGCAGGTGTAAAATTAATGGGCTCACCGGTCATCCGAACATGTAATGCGGCCTGTGTCGCAAAAAAATTTGAAGCCTGTAATTTACACTGGTTTCGGCCCCAAAACTAGACTTCCAAACAGGCCCTAAGTGTTGCCATGCACCTCATATCGAGTATTTTATATGACAACAATAGATAGGCGAACAAGGCACTACACATTTAACACTTGCAACTCAATGAGGTGTGGCTTTCCAAACATGCTAGGAAGCATTGGTCGTATGCAGTGGCGGATGCACGATGCGGGATAAGGGGGGGCTAAAACAATGGAGATGTTGATTTGCATGAAGATTTAATGGTGAAATCAAGCTTTTGCTACAATGATTAAGCTTGAAATCAAGACATTAGGGGGGGCTGGAGCCCCCCCAGCCCCCCCTTTGGATCCGCCACTGGTCGTATGCATGCCTATCCATATATATGGAGAGGACATTACAAGTTGTACAATTATGGTAATAAGCATGCTCCTACAAAGATTCTTGAGATTGTTCCTACACATGCTCCTAAAAGGATTCTTGAGGTCGTTGCTACTAAGCATGATTTTAGATATGGCGTTTGTATGTATGTTGTTGGGCGCCGCAAAGGAGCACGACGACATTGTGTGGGCCAAGCTCTCCTACCCTGAAGTGAGGCGGACCAAGAATGGCAGAAGTGGGCGATGAGGGTCATGACGATGGAGGAGGCCATGGTTGGCCTCCCGGTGCCCGGCGAGGGCCGCGTCAAGTACTTGGTGGACACGTTCAAGCGGCTCCTCTCGCTGGGTGGCGGCGGAGGCGGAGGTGGCCTCACAATGCGGAACAGAGACGCGGTGAGGAGGAGGAGGAAGGACGAGGCAACTGCGACAGCGACGGTGTCGTTGCCTTGCCGTTCCAATTCGTAACACGACACATTAGCACTTAGAAACAACCAGAGGAACTAAGGACACATTCGGATGTCCGCCAATGTAGGACGTGCCAAGTCTTGGGTTTACTAGCATAGACTCCTGGGTGTGATGGACTGCTCAAAAAGTTGTCATCCGAATCCCCAAGCCCTTTCTCAGAGGCAATTTGAATATTTGTGCACAAGCTTCTAATATCTGTGACTACTCCAGATTGAACATGTGAAGAATATGAATTTTCTTCAACATCAGTAGGCATCCTATATTGAGTGGCTTGTACACAAAGAACATCTTGCAACGGAAACAGCAAAATTTTAGTGCATCACAAACGTTGTATTACCTCAAGCAGGCAATATGAAAAAGATAAATTCAAAAGGTCCAGATAACAGTAACCTGGCGATATCTTACAGGAAAACATCTACAAATACATAAACCGTGTATTCTTTTAAGAAAAGAGATTATGATATTTATTTTATTATATTTTTACCAGCAACTCTACCCATAACTAACCAGCATTTGTTTTTGTTTTGTTAGCCAAATATATATATATATATATATATATATATTAAGGTTTTCCATTTCACAATATATCACACATGGACATGGACACCACCCACATAGCTCAAGAGCTATTCTGAACATCATCCTGACACAAGTTTGACTGAAGAAAACTGAATTACTTAACACGAAACTCAATGACATTCCACCAATGTAATCCTCAGTGTGCTCATCCACATGCACTGATCGAACCTGCTCCTAGCTCATCGAGCGAAGGAAACCAGTCTTTCTGGATTGTCACCCCTGGCAAAAATATTGTGTGCTTGCCGAGTTTAGTTAATTGGGTGTAGTCCCACTGCTAATATGAACACCCAAGTTATAACATATCAATGTCGTCACCTGCAAAGATGCACACCCACATAGCACTAGATTGATATTCACAATGACATCGCATCTAAAGCGATAAAGGGCCTGTGTGTGTGTGTGTGTGTGAACAACAAATCTCGCCATTGTTCTTATGTGATCTTCAGAACTGCATGGTTTTCAAACATGTAAGTCACATTTTCGACTATAATTAAGGTGTGCTTTCTATGAAGAACATTGTTTTCACTTCTAGTCTCATATTTGCAATATGGTCCAACCTAAAATGGCTCCAAAATTGATCTATACCGCAAAAGTCACTACTCACAACTTAGCCAACAGTAACACAAATACAACTACTTTGTGTGCGCGTGCGCGCTCCATTGTGCTTATGTATTCTTCTGGACTGTATGGTTTCCAAACACGCCAGTCACATTTTCGAACATGAGGTGTTCTTTCTATGAAGGACATTGCTTTCTCTTCTAGTTTCATATTTTTAATATAGTCCAATCTAAAGTGGCTCTAAAATTGATCTATACGCAAAAGTCAATACTCACAACTTAGCCAACAGTAACACAAATGTGTGTGTGCGCGTCTCTCTCTCTCTCTCTGTGTGTGTGTGTGTGTGTGTGTGTGTGTGTGTGTGTGTGTGAACAAGAAATCTCATCGTGGTGCTTATGTGATCTTCTGGACTGCATGATTTCCAAACATGTTTGTCACATTTTCAACCATGAGGTGTGCTTTCTATGAAGAACTTTGTTTTCTCTTCTAGTTTCATATCAGCAATATGCACCGACATAAATTGGCTCCAAAATCGATATATTGCAAAAGTACTCACAACTTCTCTATCATGTAACACAAATACAATTACCTAGCTTGTGAACAACTCATTGCGACACATATACTTTGATATTGAGTTACATCAAAATTAATATGCCAAAAATGTGTGAAGTAGTGATCTTTGATAAAACAAAGCTGAAAACAATGTTTGTTCAAACGTTTGATCATCCACATAATATAGTGATGCAGCTCATTGTATTACTCTTTGGAACATGGTTCCAAGAAAAGTCCACACTTTATCTTGTGGAGTCACAATGGTCTTTTTGGTTAGCCAAACCTCATATTGCAAAGTTTAGCATTAAAAGATGCAAAATTCAATTTATTTAGAGAATGCAACCTATCCATTATCATATAAATTAAACACTAGTAATCATGTTTAGTAGACCCACACAACACCAAAACCCCACCAAAAGATCACCAAATTTGGTCACACAACTTCGTTTCAACATTAACCAACAAATTTATCCTTCTATATATGGTGCAATTTAAGTGTGTATGGCTTGTTCTCTACATAATCATTATGAAAGGATTATTAACGAGTAACTTTACTTCAGGTACCCTCATTAGCTGGGGAGCTTAGGCAAAGACAACACAAGGCCTCGTTAGATGGCACTCGGTCAAATATTCGGACTTAGGGGCTACGACCAAGCTCTGTAGGCCCGAGACCCACCAGCCATTCGGGCCACATCCCGAACGTCGCGACACGCAAATAGGAGCCACACCAGGAGAAGCCAACATGTTGACTTCACGCTCGGAGCACTGGGATCAACAATTTAGTCGAGAAGTATCCCGAGTAAGCATGTGGCTGCTCGACACAAGTCAGCTGAATCTACTAATAAAGTATCTTCCCACCTTCGACCTCGGAGTCGAGGGGATCTCCATGGCTTAGCAAGTATGCCTGCACCATGAAGGACCCCATGAGGGCCCCCACCCACATTGAGGCAAGGCCAAGCGGAGTGCATCTTCTTCTTCCGCAATCCAAGGCGATGACCAAGTCAATCCGTGCGATGCAGGCACCCATGTCCTTCGTACCATGGAAATTCTAGGGCATGCCAACACAAGGTGCGACACACAGCCTTATAACCACTGGCTATGACATACAATTTCCTAAATGCTAGGACCTTCTACCAAACTAACTTTTTCTTAGTAATCTAGCTCTTCGGTAGGAGGTGTCAAATATGTGATAGGATTGAATGGTTTATATCTACATAACATTTGTGGAGTACACACAATGATGATGATATGGAGATTATAAGATCTAATTTGAACACTTTATGTTGTTGGGGAAACGAACTGGAGCCAAAATCCTGTGAGAGAGTGGCGTGGCTGTATGACTGAGAAGAAAGGGTCTTTATTAACTATTGCTCAACATGCCCATGTATGCCCTTTGGAGCTCCAACTGTTGCAAGACATTCACCATCATCTCGCTCAGTCCAAAACCAAATTCAGTGTTTTTGTATTACATGTGATTTACCTCCAATGATCTGTTTATATGTTTATAAGTGCATGCAATTTCTTCCATGTAAGGATTTCTATATTTGATGATGCTTTTGCAATTTTGCAAGCAATTTGTCTTCAATCATGAGCTTAATAGATTAGTCTAATGGGAAGACAACCTATAGAAGTCAATGACTTGTGACCAACGAAACAAAGACATGCATAATATAGAAGTCAACAACTATGACTAAGGAAACATAGCATGTGCTTTATATAGTTAGGTAGAGAGAGCTGGTGCACAAGTATGAATAAACCCTAATCTGGAATATAAGCATGGATCGATTGCGACATTCAAGATACGCCACCCAGACCCATGAACATATCATCGACCATTCCCATGGACCCAGCAAAAAAATCAAGTATGTATGGTAGAGTACAAGAACAAGCAATGAATATTAGTAAAGGAAACTTGCATTGCTTAACAGATCTAGTCATAATCACCACTAGAAAAGGCAAGAAACACCTGGATCTAAACAAAAACAATGATTTGCCCTTCGAGGAGGAGCAAATAGAGAGAGATCCAGCACGTGTCCTCGGTTTCGATCCGTAGTGTCTCACCTGCGAGCACTTGGGGAGGGCCGACGACCTTCTCCGACGAGCTCCCTACCGGGAACCCCAGCAGCAGCAAGTGAAACGAGAGCGAGAGAGCAGCGGCGAGTGAACGAGCAGTGAATGAGAGAGGTAACTCTAGCGGGTGGATGTGGAAGCGGGGTTTTGTTCAATGCAATGCGCAGGCCAATGAGGACCCCCGTGTGCGGCCAAGCCAAGCCAGACTCCGTAGAAACGAGTCCCCCCACCGTTCCCATGAAGCCTGGCTAACCCCCACTCCCCCCGTGGGCTTGTGGGAGCCTGGCTAGCAGGGCCTTACAGGGAACCAAACAGGCCCTGGTTGTATTATGGAAGCCTAGCCAGGGGTGAGGGCAGGGAACCAAACACACCTCATATGTTTCAAGCTATCCTATCTAGCTAATGGCATTTATTCTTATCTAAGGGCACATATGCACTTGAATTGTATTCTTATTCACCCTAGGGCAATTAAGTGGGAAATAATAAAGATTTTGGTATGAACTTCCACATTTTTTCATCCGACATTGTGAGCTGAGTGTAGCTAGCACTACTAGAGAACAGACTTTAGAACGATGTCCCAATTTGGCATTAGCCTCGGCATTTTTTGCCCCCGGGACTAAAGGTTCCTTTAGTCCTAATTGGTAATACCAACCGGGACTAAAGGTTCCTGCCCAACGGTCGTCCGCGGGGCAGGGATCTTTAGTCCCGGCTGGTATTACCAACCGGGACTAAAGGTGGTAATACCAGCCAGGACTAAAGCTTTTAGTCCCGGTTTGGGTGATGCCCCGGGAATAAAGATTAATCTTTAGTCCCGGTTTGGTTCCCTAACCGGGACTAATTATCCCGGCCTATAGATCAGCTCATTTCTTCCTCCCCGAGCCCGAGCCATTCCATTCAAACTCACTGCCTCTGTTCTTCAGCTTGCTGTTGTTCTTGCTCTCTCCCCCTCCATTGGTGTTGCTCTTCGATTTTGGAGGTAACAAACTTAATTCTCTTATGTTTTATCAGTAGCTTATCTCATTTTGCGATGTAGATGCATGTGTAACTTTATATGTTGGACTTTATTATGACTTTATGTCATTTTTAGCTCAAAATCACATGATGATTTACATATATGTTTGGATAAACAAAAGTTAAATTAGTTCATCAAAATCACTTGATAGTTTAGTATTGCTAGTATATGTAGTACATTTTCATGGTTTAGTTAGATAAATAAATATTTTTATTTTTTTAATATATTA